CTTTTTTTCTTTTCTTTTCTTTTCTTTTCTTTTCTTTTCTTTTCTTTTCTTTTCTTTTCTTTTCTTTTCAGGTTTTTGCCATAGAGCACATGCACTTGCTGGAGAGAGACAGGGGGGAAGTGAGAAGTCACTCCCCAGGGGAGATGGCCATGCCACAGTCCCTTCTCCTCCATTCTCTTCTCAGGATCTTGGGCGTGTACACATCCTGGACCTGGTGTGAGTTTTAAGTCACCAGGTCCAGGACTTGAACCAGGGTGGACCATGTGGTAATCCAGTGCCTTAACCACCATGCTGTCTGCCGGCCCCATGCACATGTACACAGTTTTCTTTCTTTCTTTTTCTCTTTTTTCCTTTCTTTTTTTTTTCTTCTTGCATTATTTGATGCTTTGGACTGACCCCAAATGCTGACCCTTTAACGTGGTTCCTCTTTAACTTAAAAACTGCCTCCTTCACCTCCTTTTGGGCAATGCAAACAACATTAAAGTCTTCTCAATAATCAACTACCTCCTGATTTAAATTAGATGAAGAAAAGACTCCATTGCAGAAGACTCACATCACAGAACAAATTTGTACTAAAACGTGCTACTTCTGTTTTTTTTCCCATGATACCTAAATAACCATCATTTTTAGTTAAACTAAAAGTAGATTGTAATATTATGCTGGTGAATGATGTCTCAGGCACAAGGATACTAGATAAAAATAGAAAGTAAGGTTTGATTTTTAAATTAATACCATGTCCCAGAATACCACTTCTTACCTTGTGAATGTATCGAGCTCCTGCTCCTGTTTCCAGGCTCTTCACGATATCTGTACAACTGGGATGGGAGAAGGAGGGCTTGATTAGAGGCAGCTTTTCCATGAAGCATCTGGGCATTGCAGTGCCTTGTTTTTAGCTCAATCTCTGTGAATATTATGTGCAGTTTAATAGTCTCTCTCCTTAAACATGACCCTGCAAAGTGTCTCTTTGCCTTATGCCTTCATTTCAGCCTGGGTCTTTTACTAGGCAGAGATGCAGTCTTAACAAGAGAAAATGATCTTCATTAACCTTTGCTTTTGAAACAGACTTAAGGAACTAGGTAACTAAGTTCCTAATAGAAATGTGGTATAGAAGGATCAGCAGATGGAGTAATGATTACACCGCTGGACTCCCACATGCTGACCAGTTTGAGTCCCAGACCTGGTGGCTTAAAACTCACACTGGGTGTGTGTGCACGCATGTCCAAGATTCCAGGAGGAGAATGGAGAAAGAATTGCAGCATGGCCATCCTCCCCCAACCCCCCATCCTCCCCGGGAAGGGGGTGATTTCTCGCTTTCTGTCTCTTTGACTCTCTTTGATGAGCACACATACCCTATAGCAAAAATCTCTCTTAAAAAAAAAAAAAGAAATGTGATATAGAACTTGTTGTTATATATTCCATTTAATACGTTTTATTTTCCTATCTCCTTGTGCTTAAGAAAAGGATAATTCCTTTTGACTTGCACTTATGAAAATCCTTCGGCTGGGAATTGTTAAGAAATTCACAAACAGCTAGCACACCTGTAATCCCAGTCACTCAGAGTGTTAAGACAGGAAGATTGTGAGTTCGAGGTTCAGTGATGTCTCAGGCACAAGGATACTAGATAAAAATAGAAAGTAAGATTTGATTTTCAATACCATGTCTCAGAATACCACTTCTTACCTTGTGAATGTTTCGAGCTCCTGCTCCTGTTTCCAGGCTCTTCACGGTATCTGTACAACTGGGATGGGCAAATAATGGAACTCTGTCTCTCAAAGAAAAAAAGAAAAAGAAAGAAATCCGCCAACAACCAACAGCACGCAGAATGCTCGTGCTTGCTCCTCACCTCATGGTGGCTCCATTTAATCACTGCTTTTGTGCTTCTAGTCCTCCAAAGAGCCTCAAAGGACTTTTCTTGTTTGCCCTCTCACTCTCTTTCCTTTCTCCCCATTATCCTTACTCTTCCCTCCAAATCAAAACTACATCGCCATAAAAGAGACAGGGGTTGGTGAAATTGGTGAAGGGAAGTTTGGGTACGTGGATAGAACTGCAGTACATGGAGGGTATGGAGGCGTTCACTGCACTCCGTGCCAGATGTTTAGAATGGTCTTAAAGTCATTTAGGAGGAGTTACCCATGACATGAGGATGACAGGGTCTTGCATTTATTCTGTGTTTAAAATTTCACAATTATATTAGAGAAAAATGAAGATCATTCTTTTAAAAGCTACATGGAACTGTCTTTACAGATGAAGTCATTAACTATTAACTTAAATGTACTTCATGTTTGAAAGTCACATTAGACCACACTATGTAATTAAAAATGTGCTGACAACAGGTTGGTCTACATAGTGGTTAAGACGCTGCACAAAGGATGCTGGATCCCACATGGCCAAACAGGGTTCAATCCTCAGCTCCAGTGGCTTGAAAAGCATGAAGGTGTCCGTGTACCAAACATCCTGGCAGGATGAAGAATTGGAGGGAGAATGGTCATGGTGTGGTCATGTCCTATTGGGAGGTTCTCTCCTCTCTCTCTCTTTTTCTACTTCTCTCCCTCCCTCCCTTTTGTGTATGCACACTTGCCTTCTGTATTAAAAAAAAAAAAAATGAATCAGCAGATAGCATAATGGTTTAATCACTGGACTCTCATGTAGTTGGCTGCAGTTCGAGTCTTGGACCAGTGGCTTAAACTCACACCAGACGTGTGTGCATGCGTGCCTGAGATCCCAAGAAGAGAATGGAGAAGTGATTGCAGCATGGCCATCCCCTCGGGTGGGGGAGGGGCGATTTCTCGCTTTCTGTCTCTTTGTCTTTCTATGTCGTTCAGCAAGTGCATGCACCCTATAGCAAAAATCTCTCTTTAAAAAAAAAAAGTGCTCCAAGATTCAGCCCTATGATGATGACCACGTCATTACTGCAGGGAATGTCGTGTGCATTACGGTGTGTGTGCGTAGTCAGCGGGACACTGTGCAGCCCCTAAAATACGTAGTATAGTAACAGAGACCTGCCGTGGAAGGGTTTATATACAATGCTTTTTATGCCAGTGAAAGAATTAAGGACTCATAGATATGACTAGAAGGATTTATATATAAGAATGTTACCTCTGAATTAGGATACCATACATTTCTTATGTAGATTTTTATGCACTTTTTCAAGTATTTCCTAAAGTAAAATTTTCCTAATGCTTTTTATTTAACTTAGGTTTAACGTAAGAAAGAATGAAAACAGAAAAGAAGACAGGAAAAATAATCTTATTTTTTTGTGAAAATGGAGCAAGAAAACCTTGTTATCTCTAAATAATTTTTGATCAAACCAAAAAGATTATCTGAGTCTTTCCCTTTTATCTGTATCACCGAAATCTGCTCTCTTGCATTTTCTTAATCTTGCTCTTCTAAAGAGTGTGCTTGAAATATGTAAAAACAAATAATTTCATTCATTCTTCTGAAGTTATTTTTGTGGACTTGACTAGAGGCTCTTGAAAGGAAAGTTAAGATGTTTTGGTGCCGTAGGGCCCACAGCATTCCTGCTTGGAAATGCCATTCTCTAATCTCTAATTGCATTACATTTCTGTGTCTGACTCCAACAGAACGGGAACTTCAAACAGAGAAGGAAAACCCAATTCCTCTCTAAGTACAAGGGCCACTGCTACAGTAGGCTGTCGGGAGAGTCATGACTTTTCTGCTGTGTTTTTCTATGCAAAACGCATCATGACTTTCCAGTATTCTATTTCAGACAGCATGACACCTGTCTTCAAGGTTTTCAAGTACCCCTCATGGAAGGATTAGGAGTTTGGGGATGTGCCAGTTAAACGATGAAAATATTTTAATTGGTTATAGATTTGTGTATAAAGGGATTTAAGCAATGCATTGGGATTAGGCAACCTTTACAGTGTCTCAGAGATAGACAGAGGAAGGCGGTTCCTATGACTTTTTCCACCTCACCAGCATTACTGGACACTTTGCTAGTGACACCCAATGCAATGTCTCACGTGTTGTTTACGCTTTGCAGGAGGCATTTTTTTCAAAGATTTTCTTTGGGTAGGAATGAAAGTCAAATTAGCAAAAATAGATTCTTCGGCGTTCCAGTCCTCTAGACCTCTCCAAGTCAGTTACCCGGAGTTCGTAGCTCGTTCCTGAATATGCATGTGTGCCTACGCATGCATGCGCTTCCCCCCCACCCCCCGCATGCTGGCCGTGTGTTCTAAGTGTGTCTAGATCCCTCACACTGCATCCTGTTTCCTTTCTCTCTTGTCTTCCCCAGGTAAAATGTCCAGTGACCGAGCTTTGAGGAAGCAGCAGCAGTTAAACAACCTCGCTTACGTGGTGACCGGTCAGGCCAGACCTGGAGACAGGATTGTGGATTTCTGCAGCGGTGGGGTAGCGTGTCCCTCCTTGTACCCTTCGTGGCCTCTCTGAGACAGTGTGACTGCGCATCACGTGAAGGGCATGCTGTTACATGGGGAGGTAGTCGTCGCAGAATGAGTGAGGCTGCTGGAACCACAGTTAATCTGTTCTTTTGCTGGCTTTTTCAGGGCCACGTTGGAATTGTCCTTGCTCACATGTTACCATCATGCCAGGTAAATTCTGAGTAATAGATAAAGGAAGCATTTCAGCTAAACACCGCTCAGCCAGCCAAGGCCAGCTTACCCCTGCCTTTGGAGTTTGTAATCACTCGTACACGTCAAGTGTGCCACGCAGGCATTTTCTCTTTCCTTTAAAGTAAACTTCCAAGATTCAGAATCTAAAGAAAAGGTAGTAAAGTAGGATCATAATACAGGTATTGTTTTTTTTTTTTAAGGTTGATCTGTTTAACTAATTTTTTATATAGGTAGCTATTGTATTGTTAAATAAAATAATTATGATTAAGCTAATTTAATTTTGAACATAATTTTAGCGATAAATATTGGCTTCTGAAACTCACTGAGCATGTTCTTTGGTATCCTGATTTTGATCCATTGCATCAAAATTGTAACAATAACTTTTTTTATAAAGGTTTTTGCCATAGGGCACATGTGCTCAATAGAGAGAGACAGAGACAAAAAGAAGGAAAGTGAGAAAGGAGCCCCCAGTGGGAGATGGCCATGCCACAGTCCCTTCTCCTCTATTCTCCTGGGATTTTGGACATGCATGCACACGTGCCTGGCATGATTCTCAAGCTGCCAGATCTGGAACTCAAACTGCAGTCAGCCATGTTGGAATCTGGCACCTTAACTAGCACGCCACCTAATGGTCCCACAATAACTTTTTTTTAAGAGAATTTTTGCTATAGGATGCATGTGCTTGCCGGAGAGACAGAAAGCAAGAAATCAGCCTCCAATGGGGATGACCACACCGCAATCCCTTTTCCTCCATTCTCCTCTCAGGATCTTGGGCATGCATGCACACATGCCCAGCATGAGTTTCAAACCACCAGGTCTGGGACTCAAACCGTGGTCAACTACATGGAGGTCCAGTGACATAACCATTATGCAATCTGCTGGTCTAACAATAACATTTTTTAAAGAAGGAAAAAATAAAGCCCCCAAATTACCATACAGATCCATCAAATGCTTTTCTTTCTTTGATCTCAATAAGTCATTGCCCATACTATGAATGTTTATTGTTGCAGATGCTAAAAATCCAAATATAAATGTAGGCCCCTGCTTTCACTCAGTATTGTATCCTAACTGTTTTCCCTGTTGCTAGTAGTTGTACATATCATTACATTTTAGTGACTGTGTGTGCTTTTACATGATGGGCCATAGTCTGTCCAATCTTCACCACAGTTTGTCAGAGTTTATGCTGTGTTTTAGTCTTCCGGGATCCTAGGAGAAGAGGCAGGTGTCTGCTTTATTATTAAGAAAAACAGTCATTTCAAGCTCGAGGAAGAGGCAGAGGGCTTATGGACGAGAATCCTGGGAAAGCAGAGTCCACACCACCCCCTCTAATAGTTCTGCAAGCCTAGATAACTCAAAACTGGAAAAGGGACATCTAGGCGAGATAGAAGCCTGGGAAGTCTTCGTCTCCAGGTGTACTCTTGGCAGGTCTTTGATTTAAAGGGACCCAGGGTCTGGGCATAAGGACAGAATGTGGACTAGGACCGACAGTGACAGAAGGCCCTGCCCATGCTTCTCCACCCAGTCCATGCCCCCTGCCTGGAGTTGGGTCAGGTACAGGCCTGCCTTCAGCCTCACCTCCACCCATCCCTGCTGGGCACTGCCCGGGAGTGAGCCTCCTTCTGTCATACACTATGACCGGCCTCCTGCTGGCCTCCTCAGCCTCATCTCTACCCTCACACCCTGGCCCCATCCCCACCACCACCGTCACTGGCCCCTTACCCTGGTTTCCTCGTCCTTCAAATACACGGGACTCACTGTCCCCTTGGTGTCCGTCCATGTTTCCCTCTGCTGAGCCACTCTTCGTTCCCCCGACCACGTGTCTGGTTTCCGGACCTCGTCAATCAGTGACTTCTCGGAGACCTTCCTCGGGCGGGGCGTCTGAGGGCGGTCACCGTGCAGCGCGCCCCCATCAGCGCTCACTGCACTCTGGGTACGGTGGGTTTCGCCGACTCCTGGTTGTTCCAGACTCCGGGCACACCTCTGCACCAGACTGTTAACAGAAAACATTCTGCGTGATTAAAGCTAAGAACTATCGCAAGAACGCTTCACCCATGTCCTAAGTATGTGTCTGAATATACTTTTATCTCTGGGGCGAAATCTAGGTTATATTAATAGAAAACAAGGAACTATCATTAATTCGTGCTAAGAAGAGAAGTGACGAACTCGGCTTAAGCAACATTTGGTTCATTCAGGCAAATATGGAGTATTTCACAGGGACGTTTAATATTGGGGTAAGTGAGCGTTTTCATTGTTTTTAGTTAAGAGAAAATTACGTGCCTTAAAGAATCTAATTTTATATGTTGCTAAACAAAAAAATCCGTAACTTGCTGTATTCATACTAAACTTTCCATACTTAAAGTGCCTAGGAAGTGTAACCTGTCCCTTTCATTTTAGCCATAGCACTTCATTGTTAGATTATGGGTAGCATCTGTTCCTCCACCAGACTAGAACTTTCTCTAATTTATTGTGTAAGTGGGAGAGACAAAGGCAGAGAGGCAGGGAGAGAGGAAGGCAGAGAGACACTCCAACAGTCTCGGTGCCATGGTGGACCCCAACCTCCACCTGCCTGGGTGGCAGGCGTGCATGCCCAGTGCACCCCCAGACATCCCAGGGGCCGACTCAGAACCTGCCTGCGGGGTCACCCTCATGAAATGTCACATTTTCCTGTCACACCACCGTCTAGCCCCCAGAACTTTTACTCTCCTTGCTATTTATAATAACCCACAGTGACTAGAATAATGCTTAGATTTAAAAATGATTAACTGAAAAATTAATGGAATCTAATGAAGGTGATTCCTTTGCTTTATACTGCATTTTAATGGCACTGGAAGAAAAGAAAAAAGTTCGTTAGTAACCTCTAAATGCTAGCGTTGTCTTTAGATACTGTATTTTTTAGTTGAGATATGATATCTACATTTATTTTTGGTTTCCAACATATTGGTTATATTTATAAACCTTTAGATAAAGGTGTTATTATTTGAAATTACTCAAAAGATCTGAGATGTCAGCTCACATAAACCCAATATTCTATGTTCTCTTGGGGAATTGGGATTTCATTAAGGTGTATTTCTGTTATTTATTGTATTTGTTTTAAATATATTTTTCTGATTTTGATGAGAATACATTCTCAACATAAAAAGAATAATAAGAAATTGCATGTGTGTCTACTCAGGAATATATTTATATCTTTACGCGCACACGCTGATGTGTCCTTACACGTCTGTTAACCTCATTGAAACCACTTTAGATCCTGCTTTACCTGAAATTGTCATAAATCTTTTCCCTACTTATTAATCATGTTTCTGTCATTTCTTATGACTATAATGTTATTATTGCTATGATAGATACTTTATGCATCATTTAAGAATTTTTATACATTGGGAAAATCACTTCCTAGGAAGATTTTATTAGTATCATTCTTAGCTGTATGTGTTCACACAAGCATGGGCTTGTCCCGAGGGAACTTTTCTTTCTTTTCTCTTTTTATGTTATTTATTTATATATAATTTCTATAGGGCATGTGTGCCCACCAGAGTGAGACAAAGAGACAGAGATAGAGAGGGGAGGAAGCACCCTTCAATGAGGTGTGACTCAGTCCCTTCTCTGTTTCTCCATCCTGACTAGATTTTGGACACAGACACACACACCCAGCATATTTTTCAAGCCTGTGGGGAGAGTATTTGAACTACAGTTGGCTGTGTGGGATCTGACACCCTTAACTATGAGTCTATGGGGCCTGGCCCTCGATGGAACTTGCATCCAATTTCAGAGCCCAGACCTTCTGTAGTTGTTCCGCATTTCATCCAATGTGGTTTATTTGTTAATATTGACTTCTGCCCATTTGGGGGCGTGCTGCTGTTTCTTTTTTCTAACCTGTGAGATTAGCCCGGTGTCATTTACTGAAAAGTCCATTCTTTTTCCTCTCATTTCAAATGCCTTTATTGGATGCCACGTTTACGTATTTAAGTGGTTCCGTTGACCTGTACCTGCATGATTTGCCTGGTATTTCTGACAAGCATTCGATGGCAGTGGAAGTCAGAAACATGCAATGTGCAAGACTTTTAGACCCCAATCCATTGTGTGTGTAGTTCCTTGATTTAGTTTTTTGTTTAAATGAGAAAAAACACACTTTTGCATGTAGCAAAAGGAATGTGAACCTTAACAGAGACTCGCAGAAGTACATTGTGTAGGACCAGGTGGCAGCGTCACAGTACGGCAGCTGGGCCTGGGTGAGAAAGGTCCCGGGTTCACGTTCGGGGCCACCCTGAGCACACTGCACAGGTGAGCGCACACCCCTAGTCCAGTAGCTGAGACTGGGGCTCAGTCACAGTGTGAAGACCCTGCTGCGGGTACCTGTCTTTCTCTCTCTTCTGAAATAAATAAACTTTAAAAAATTTATCAAGTCCTCTAAGCTTCAGTTTCATCTTAGGAAAAAAGTAAATTATTTCAGCTTTTCTTCCTTCAGAGCCTCAGGGTTTGAAGAGAAGCCTGATGTAATTAGTGCATGAGGTCAGGCTCCTGGATCAGGAAACTGCCCCTTGGTAGCTACTTTGTTGAGGGCAAGTTCTTAATTTCCCCAAGCCTTTGTTTTCTCACTTTTTGTTGTTGTTGTTGTTGTTGTTGTTGTTGTTGCTATAGAGCGTGCACGCTCACCAGAAAGACAGAGAGAGACATAGAGACAGAAAGTGAGAAATCACCCCCCGGGGGATGGCCACGTTGCAATCTCTTCTTCTCCATCCTCCTCTCGGCATGATCGCACACACGCCCGGCCTTAGTTTAAGCCATCGGGTCCGGGACTTGAACTGCAGTTGACTGCATGGGAGTCCAGTGACATAGCCATTACGCCAACTGCTTGTCTCTGTTTTCTCACTTTTAAAAAAAATTTCCAGAGCACTTGTACTCACTAGACACAAAGAGAGAAAGCACCCCCCAACGGGGTGTATTTAGACGCAGTCCTTATGCCTCCAGTTCTCCATCCCCTCAGGATGTGGGGCATGTGCACACACGTGCCTGGCATGTCTTTCAAGCCACTGGAGGTAGAATTCACATCAATGCCAGCCATGTGGGATCCGGCTCCCTATGCACCATGGGTAGCCACAGTGCTGGGGGCTGGCCTTGGTTTCCTCATTCCTACAGTGGTGGTGATAAACATTCCAGAGTTGTGCCTACAGAGAGAGCTGGGTATCTCTGCCCAGCATGGCACCAGCTCACAAAAGGCACTCTCCGTGTCTGTCCTCTTCCCCCTCCCCCCAGGGGAGAATGCACCTGAAATTCTTACTGTGAGATATTTCCTAACTCCTTACGGAAATAAGGATTAGCCTGATTTTTACTCTGCAAAGCTGACTAAAGGGGCAGAGACCAATATTCTTTATTTACTATCACTCTGAGGTTCTTCTGCCTTCCCTGGGTGGCCGCCTTCCTACGCCCTGTCTGCAGAGTGACGCAGGGAGGTTTGGCTGATAGCAGCCATGGATGGGGTTGACTTCAGGTGGAATTCATAAGGGTTGAGAGCAGATATTTTCTTTGCTCTTCCCAATAAAGCATTGTCTTTAGCTGTTCAGTTCAAAAGGGGAATCTGGACTACAGTACTTTACATTCAGAATTTTCCTGAGAGCACCTCTCTACTCTGAGGTTGATGAGACCCGTTCCTAGGAGAGAAAATTAGAACCCCAAACAGTTTGTCTCCATCTTAACATTTTTTTTTCTGGCAAAATATGTTAATTCATGTTTCAGGATTCCCTTATCTGGTTTTCCTCCATAGGGTCCTATTTTGCTTTATTTAGTGTAATTATTTTAGTACCTGGCTACTTTAGATTATAAGAAATGTAGATACATTTAAAGAATGTATTTTTAAAACATTTAAAAAATCATTTTAGAGTTATTTTTTCTTTTCATGAATTATTAAAAACCTCATTTTAATTTGTAATTTTATTCCTTTTTAAATAAGCCCACTGAAAGCAGTTCATACAATTCATTGTTTAATGCTAAGGATTGTTATTATGTGAAAACACATCGAAAGAAGCTATATAAATACACTTGATTGTTTTTTTAATATGACATTGATTAGATTACATGGCATTTAAGAAGCATTTCAAGCATGTTTTTATTTAAGTTTTGTAATAGCATTATAAGATGTCAGCATTGCTAACTATATATTCAAAGATACTGCGGCCCAAAGAAGTTCAATTTTAGGTGACCCAAAATCACACAGTCAACCAGAGTTCTAAACTAGAAATTCTGATTGAGATCTAGTGTTCTTCCACAAAGATACAACTGAGTTAAATTCATAATCAGCAAGAGCACACATTCCGACATGCACATATATTAAATTTTCCATGTCTAAGTTTGTGTTGAATTTTCCATAGACTCTTAAGCTTCATTTGCAGTGCTCTATTTGTAGTCTTTCAACCTTGCTTAATTTTCTTAATTAATAAGAATAGCTAAGTAGTCCATTGGTATGTCCCAATGAGAACGATCTGAACTCATAAAATAGTATTCCCATAACTTGACAACTCTGAATGATCAGCCACAAAAATACTAAAAAAAAAAAAAAAAGGAAAGGAAAGGTACAAAAGTTGTCCAGTTAAGAAGGAATCCAGTCTAAGGTCTGGCTTTATCTTGCAGGTGGCACTGCACGCTTGTGGAGTAGCTACAGACATGGTGATTGAGCACTGCGTCAACACACGGGCTTCCTTCGTCACGTGCCCTTGCTGTTACGGCTTCATTCAGAACACCTCAAAGTTTAATTTTCCAAAAAGGTGAGAATTAATGTTCTACTAAGACCAACATGGGGATAAGCCAATGCACAAAACTTGTTTGATAGAAAGTTGAGACCAATGTGGGGTTAAGCCAGTGCACAAAACTTGTCTGATAGAAAGTTGCAAGGAGATTTTAGTTTTGAGCTGATTTTCTCTTTCCATAATGGCAAGTAATATTTATAAATTGTATAAAGAAAAGAGGGTCTCTTCTCTGTCCATGATTCTTTTTCTCCTGGATCGAGCTCTTGCTGAAATATAGAAGCAGGTCTGTGTAAGAGTCAATCAGCTGAAAGGGTGTCGGCATCCACACTTCTCCATGTACTTCTGAATGGCACTGTAACTTATCTACATGAGGTGCTAGAGTATTAAGTGTTTAGGGCCTAGAAATCCCCTGCCTCGGTACAAATACTTGTCAGTTGTTTTATCTCAGGCCATGTACTTAAACTCTGTTTGCTTACGTTTTCTCATCTATAAAATGATGGTTATAATAGTAACTTCCTCAAGACTTTGTGAGAATTCAAGCATATACAGAAAGCATTGGAAGGGGGACCAGCAGTTGGTGTAATGGCTGTGTCGCTGAACTCCCACGTAGTCAACTACTGTTAGAGTCCCTGACCCAGTGGCTTACACTGACACCGGGTGTATGTGTGTGAATGCCCAGGATCCTGAGAGGAGAATGGAGAAGGGATTGCGACATGGTTATACCCCCTGGGACGTGATTTCTCACTTTCTGTCTCTCTGTCTCCCTCTGTCTCCTGGCGAGCTCATGCGCTCTATGGCAAAAACCTCTCCAAAAAAGCAAGCAAGCATTGGAAGCTGTGTAGAGGCCAGTGAACGTGGCCCGCTGCTGGTGACAGTGGCTGCAGTCCTCTTACCTACCGCTCCCAGGTGTTGGTCAGTCTGCAAGCTCGGCAGCCATTTCCACAGTCCTCCTTACCCTACACGGAGAGGCGGTAGCGCATCTACTTGAGGGCCACCTTCTCGATATTTCTGACAGCTTTACTCTGCCCCAGTTATTGAGAATCACGACAATCATTTTAATTATGGAATTAATTACATACATAGCTTTGAAAAGTCTATCCTATAATATGTCACAAAGGACTTCTTGGTCAGTTGAATTACTAGTTTTAGAAATCCTTAGAAAGTTTCTAGTGAAATTGATATATTAAGACTTCTATATAAGTAATTTACAGTAAAAAAAGATAGCCTTCTTTGCCTTTCATTTTGTTCTTTACCACAATTTGCAGCTAGAGGTGAGAAAAGGAGCTATTATTAAAAGGTAAAATATAAAATATCATGTGAGGCTTATCAGTAGTTTAAGTTGATTTTATCCTGCATCTATACTGACAAAATATTATTTTTGTAACTCACCGAGAAATTTTTAAGTCCAGTACTATAAAAATCCTTAAGAATGCTAATTTCACTTGTTCAACCTATTGCATTTTTTAAAGCATTATTTTATTTAACTTTATTTATGTATTTATATATTTATTTATTTTCATTTGACCAGAGAGAGACAGAGTGAGAGAGGGAAAATGAGAAAACAAGCCGCCAGGTCAGAGACTTGAACCGCACCCAGCCATGTGTGAGTCCAGCGCCCTTAACTACCATGCCACCTGCCAGCCATATCAACCTATAGTCTTAATCGATTTTGTTAACTGACTGAGGGCACGTGTGTTCTCCAGAGCAGGGGGAGGGGGAAAGCTCCCCCAGCGGGGCATGGTCGTACAGCACTCCTTTTCTCTGCACTTCTCTGTCCCATCAGGTTTGGGGCATGTACACACACACGCCCAGCATGTTTTCCAACCACCGGGGCCAGGATTAGAGCCGTGGCCAGCTCTGTGGTGTCCGGCTCCCAGTACACAGCACTTGACCACTGGGCTATGGGCCGGCCCAGTCCTCACGAATTTTAGAAGCCTCAGTTCAGTGTTAGTGTTTTCACACTTTGGTAGATTAACTGAGTTTTCCTGCCTTGTGTTTGGAACTGATGTCTTCAGAAAGTCCTCTTCTTTCTCTTTGCGTAAGGCCTGTCTTAGTCACCAGATCTGCAGAGCTGGGGGTTATAAACAGCTTATCGTTTCTATCCTGTGTGGAAATAAGCACTGGTTTCACTTTGGGACAGCATTCTGTACACTTCAGGTGTAATACATATTTTTATTGATAATTTAATTTCAAGAGTATTTAATATTTGGTATTTAGAATGATGACTAATTCCTTTTTATTTCCTATTTCAGTGAACAATTCAAGAAAACCTTATCATACAAGGTAACCTTTAAGAGAGAAAGCTATCTTCTCAATACACTTTTTCTTTATTTTTTTCTCTCAAGTTTTTAATGCTATTTATAATCTCTAGTTAATTTGAATTGAACATCTAGTATGACTTTTTTTTTTTCCTCAAATCTAGAAAGTCTTCAAATGGTTGACAGGGTTTAAAAAGGGTCTGAGATTCTTCCCTATTCACAGGTGAACAATGCAGTTGTCACAGTGGGTGCTGGCCAGAGGTCAGAGACCCCCGGGTAAGGGGCAAAGACAGAGGCCAGAGTGCCGTCACTGTCACCGGCTTCCCACAGGCCCCAGGAGGTGGGCCATGCACCCGTCCTCTGCTCCAGAGGAGACTCTCTAGGTTTTCCAAGGCTGTTCACTTTTTCTTGCCTATTCTGAATTCTTTTCCTGTCCTTTTGTCGATGCCAATCAGTTTGTGGGGATTAATAAGTTATTTAGTTCAAACCATTTTATTAGTTTCCTAGTCACTGCCATACATTTTATACTAAGCATTAAACTGTTTTTTAAAACATAAAAGTTGAGACAAAGATATTCCTTTAAAAAGAATCAGAACTTGCACAATCACTTCAGTCACCTCGTTTACAGAAGCACAGGCTTCCAACGTCACATGCAGAATACCACGGGAACAAGTGATGCGTCCGAGTTGGGGTCGCTCACTCGTGAAACCACAGCTGTTCTGCACAAGCAGTGTCAGGAGCAGAGCCTTCATCTCCGTCTTTGGCCTGCCTGATCACACAGCTTTGGCCACTTGCAGGTTTAAGGGCACAGTGCACTCGGTGCCTTTGACCCTTGAAAGTCGTCTGTTCTTCATAGTACAGTCTTTCCTAAAATTGATAAAAGGAGCGGTAGTCCCCCGCTCATTGCCCTGGGTCTTCTCTCTGGTTTGTGTTAAAGCAGAAAGAGAGACACTCACAGCCTTGAGGGGTAAAAGGGGAGTGAGAGAGCCAAACTCAGCTCCTCTCCCCGAGAGGGACCGAGGGGAAGAGCCTGGGAGAAGCAGGAAGCAGCCAGTGCTCTGCGGGCGCCCAGAGGCCAGCCACACTACAGAGAGCAGACGTTATTCCTTTCCCTCTGGAGTAGAGAAAGCACAGTGAATTTCAAATCTCGTAGTTTAACAAATTGTAGTCACCACATGTAACCCATGTTGTCATATTTTGGCTAAAAGCAGCCAGTCAAACTGGCCCTGAAGATTTCCTGTGCATCTGCTCTTAAGAACTACGTCTGAAGAGCAGTAACCTTGGAAGAAATTACTGAGTATCATTTTTCTGAAGCTTCACTCCTTTTTCCAAGTACTACTTGTGTAATTAAGCAGTATTGAACACCAGAAAAAAGAGGTAGTTGTTTTGTTTTGTTTTACAGCTTTGAAGCAAGAGATGGAAATAAACCCACTTCTCTTGCCTTTTCTTTAGGAACACATGATTCTGTGCAGATTTGCAGATCAGACAGGTGTCCAGCTTCCACCCCAGCGAAGGCTCATAGGTACGTGTTTTCACAGAGCAGCTGCCTAGTAGATTATGCCAAATGCCTGGGAGTGAACGGACTGAGTCTAGATGGGGAAAGCGCATCTGTGTATCCACAAGAAACTCGAGTTCTCCTCACTAGGAAACGTATTGAAGGGGCCTTTGTAACTGTACTAACATTTTATTCTATTTTGGTTAACGTTAATACTTTACTATTTTCTATGTTTTTCTTTTCTTTTTTTTATTTTTTAAAGGAAGAGCCAAAGACAGAGAAAAGGGGTTCAGGGAAGTAGAAGCAAAGGTTAGAATCATTTAAGGAATGATTGATTTTTTTTTTTTTTTTGGAGAGGTTTTTACTATAGGGTGCGTGCACTTGCCAGAAAGACAGAGAGATAGAAAGCGAGAAATCACCCCCCAGGGGGAATGGCCACGCCACAATCCCTTCTCCTCCATTCTCCTCTTGGGATCTTGGGCATGCACGCACCCGCGCCCAGTGTGAGTTTAAACCGCCGGGTCCAGGGCTCGAACCCCTGTCAACTATGTGGGAGTCCAGCAACATAGCCATTACGCTAACTGCTGGTCCCTAATATTTTCTATGTTTATAAATCGAATGCAACCCCCCCATTAAATCTCTTCCCCTCCCTTTTGCCGTTCCCATCACTTAGCCACACAGAAGCACAGCTGCCGTAACTCCGCTGGACTCCCAGTTTACCCCGTTCTGGGCTGCTATCACCGAACATCAAAGCCTGGGCGGGTCCTAATGAACAAAAGCGGCTTGGCTCAGTGCTCTGGCCAGGATGTCAGGACAGAGGCCGGCATCTGGTCACAGCCTCTTACCATGTCATGACATGTCAGAAGGCATCACGTGGGCTAAAAATGAGGCCAAGAGGACCAAACTTGTCCTCCCATAAGGAACACACACTTGTGATAAGGAAGCCGTTCCCAGGGTAACAAGCCCACTCCCAACGGCCTTAATCCATTTGCTGTCCCTCAGGGCCTCCCATTAGGCCCGCCTCTCAACAGTGAAACATTGGGAATTGCTTCTAACAGGTGCTTTGGGCATAGGAACCCAACTAAAACCTCACTGATAGGTGGGATGTCCTGTACAGTGTCGATGTGAGTTTCAGGCATCGAACCCGTGGGGAAGCGGGGAGTTGACAGAGCTGAGGAGGAGCACATTAGGCCAGATCACTCGCAGGGAGCGAGAGCACCAGGTTCAAGCAACACCGTGGGCTCTGTGGGAGGGCTACACCTTGGCTTTGCGCAGGCCGTTCCAGTGTCTGTGGATGTTTTTAGGCCACTTTTCAGGCCTCAAAAGTTAGGCTCCCAACAGCTGAGCTCTGTGGTCAGGGCACTTGACAGAGAACGTGAGGCTCTTCTGCATGATGCAGAGACATAAAACCTCAACTGGATCACGCCCAGGGGACGTGAGCTGCAGTGTAAGCTGGGTGGCACTGAGGGCTGAGCATCCCACCGACAGGGAATCCTCACTTTAAACTGGGAAGTCGGTGGGCAGACACAGATGTCTTAAAGGAAGAGCAGCATGATACAGAAAAGAAGCTCAGCCGTGAGGCTTTGATGAAGAGAGGACGGTCAGCCTTAGTGGAGTTCTAGGCATCTCTTTTTATTTCTCTTCTTTTTTTAGAGAGATTTTTGCTATCGGGCACGTGCATTTGACAGAATGGCAGAGACAGAGAGACAGAAAGTGGAAAATAATCCCCCAGGGGCAATGGCCACGCCACAATCCCTTCTCCATTCTCCTCTTGGGATCTTGGGCACGCACGCACACATCTGGTCTGGGACTCAAACTGCAGCCAACCACATGGGAGTTCAGCCATAACCTTATTCCATCTGCTGTTCCCTTTTTATGTCACTTCTAACACAGACCTTCCTTAATGACATGTTCCTCTTAAGGAAAATGTACAAAATAAACATTTTAAATCTGAGCCTCATTGCCAGTTCTCATCCACTGATTCCACCTCCTACCATTTTTTCCTATTTTAATGATCTGACTTCACTTTGGCAGTTGTGTTAGGTTAGCAGTTTTCATTGTCATTCAAATAAATTATTTAAAAATGTTTAGACATTGTTATGTTTACTGAGAAAAATAGGATGAGGTTCTACAATAACCTTTTTCCAAGAAGATGATGAAGCTTCTTTATTAAATTTAGAACAATTGAAAATATAGAAGTAAACTATGGCTTGGCGTATATTCAGCCCCAAATCATTTTCCTCCAAGCTACTTTTGAAATTTGAAGCTTATGTTTGCCAAAGGGAGACTGCTTTGCTTGCCAGGCAGGTTTCCCCTTTTGTTTGCTAAAGACAGCCAAGGAAGCGGAATCCTGCTGTCTTACCGTGTGGTGCTCTGAAAATTCAGAGTATGTTACGCTCAGCATCACGTGTCCACCTGGAATGGCCCACACACCACTGAGGGTTCTCTCAGCTTGCTCTTCTTATTTCTTCCTAGTCCTAAAACATTCCCGGTGGAGGGACCAGCAGATGGCATAATCGTTACGTTGCTGGAGTCCCATATATTCAACTGTGGTTCGAGTACCAGACCTGAAGGCGTAAACTCACACTGGGCGCATGTGCTTATGTGTCCAAAGTCCTGAGAGGAGACTGGAGGAGAAGGGATTGTGGTGTGGCCAACCCATCTGAGGGGTGATTTCTAGCTTTCTGCCTCTCTGGCGAGTGTACAAGCCCTATAGCAAAAATCTCCCTCTAAAAAAAAAATTCAGGTGGAAAATGTAACATTTCTTTCAGATGGATGTTTGTTGGCATATTAGATATTTTTAAATTGATTCTTTTTTATATTACAGATAACATTTACAGGGAAAAGGTCTTTAAATGGATTTTTAAAATTTTCTTTCATGAGAGAGAGAATGAAGGAGCCAGAGCAGGGTCTCATGTTGCCATTTCCACATCCCCCAGGCCCTTCAGCCGGCCAGGATCACCAGCACATACATGAGCATTTACATGTTGACACAGCACACACGGGCTGAGCCTGGAACCGCACCCCCACCTCCCACGTGGCACCCAGCAGTGTGTGACCAGGGCTCCACTGCAGCCAGCCCGAATGGACTTTTCACCAAAGAAGGAAATAGAACCCGTAGTTCTGATTTGAAATGTTTATAAATACACTTGAAAAGATAGAGCGCTCTTTAAATTAGTAGCAGAGACAAATCTGTGAATTGTCATGTGTGTGTAACTGTCTCCTCTCCGCGTTGAAAGGCACTAAGTGGGGTTGGGGCGAACAGCATTCCGCATAGTGCTCATGGGTCTTGTCCCCTGTAGGTGCCCTTGAGCACGCTGAACCTGACCGCTAGCCGCAGGGCGTCTCATGAATCTGTCTGACTGTTCCAGGGAAGCAGTGCATGTGCCTGGTGGACCTGGACCGAGCCAGAGCTGCAGAAGAACGGGGCTACTCAGTTCAGGTGATCTCCATGGAGCCAGAGAGCTGCTCCCCCAAGAACAACATGATCGTGGGCGTCCCCGTTTAGAACGATAGAGTCGCGTGTGGTGTTTTCCCGTCCATCTCAAGGTGAAAGCCCGTGTATTCAGGGGTCTCGGCATGAGTAGGAAACGCACGAGCCATCTTGAGCCTCCTGTGCTCAGGAGGAAAGCCAGAGAGGCCCGCGGTAGAGAGGCACGCAGAGCCGCTCACAGGTATGGCTGCAGGGCTGGGGGCTTTCCTGGTGAGGCCGGCTCCCTGGGGGAGGCTCCATCGCCGGCACCTGCACGGTCACCATCGTTGGAATGACAAGCTCTTCTTCAGCTCAGCGCTTTCTGGTCTTGCCATGCGGTGTTCCAGTCCAAACCGTGCGCTTGCAGCCCTTCTTTTATAAGACTGAATCTACACTCGCCAGGGGTTATCGTTTTTTATATTTTTAACAGCTGTACTTTTTCTATAATTTAGAAACAAACGTAGTCAGGTAATTGCGGTGCGGTTGTTTTTACGCTGAGCGTAGTCGAACTCATGGCATTCGGTGTGCTCCTTTTAATATATTTCCGTAAATTACCAAGTGAGATCATCACTGGCTTCAGCATTTCATATGAAGAGGTTTTAATTGCAATAAATTTCCCATTGTAGAAATATGGAATTTGGACATAAATTCTTTCTTTTTTTGCTAGAAGGGGCAGGCAGTCACCAGAGAAGGGAGAGGGGAGAAGGCACCCCTTCCCCTACAGGGCACGGTCCCGCCACAACCCCTTTACCTCGTTGTCTCCCTTCTCTCAGGTTTTTGGGTACAGACACACATACACCTGGCATGTTTCTCCAGCTGCTGGGTCCAGGACTTGAACCACAGTCTGCCACATGGGGATCTGGCTGCTTTAACCACCAGACCACAAAGCTGGCCCTGGACATACATTCTAACCGAACAGTAAATATATAGATTGATGAACTCATTCACGTCTGTAATTATTGAAGACCCACTATTGTTCAGGCCTGGTCTAGATTGTTCTCAGGTACCAAGACGGGTCACGAGAGATACAGGGCTTTGTCCGTGGAGGTCAGTGGTCTAGACGAGAAAGCCGGAAGAGTTGGCCAAGTTCCTCGTGTCCCAGGGTCTGTGACCCCGATGTCCTGTTTTCTGTCTACACCTCTTTTTGTGGCGGGTGCTGAGTGCAGAGGGCGGGCTTTTCCCATCCACGTTATCCTTTTCCGCTGGCCGGCAGTTTCAACGACAGAGGGTGTGTCTCATATGTGGCTGGTTAGTAGCCTTCGTGTGCTCCGCGTGATTCATGATTTATTTAATTGATTTTGATATCTCCAACCCAGGTCTGCCATGCATCATGAGGAGAAAAGACTCACTTTTAGTCCTCCCTGGGGGCTGGACGCAGGGACCCGGAGCAGGGTGGTGTGGGCAGTGTGTGCTCCATCTGAGACGCTCTGACAACCGTGTACACCTGGGCAGCCACCAGCCCTAAATACAGATAGGCCCCCAGACACTGCCACTTTTATGTCTTGGGACGATGTTACTTACTTACTGCTTTTTAAAAAAGTTTTAAAATTTATTTCCCTCAGTGTGAGAGAGAGATGGCACCTCCAAGGAGATTTTGGTCCCCCCAGCCCTAGCAGCCCCAGTGATGAGTCGCATGTGCCTGCTGTACCCAGAGAGGTCTCCGGGTGCAAACCCAGAACCTCCCACACAGGCCAGCCTCAGAGCGTCACGTCTTACCGCTGTGCCACATCTAGCCCAGGAGGGACCTATTTATTTTCATAATGGATGTTTTAAATTTTATGAGGCTTAACTTACCTTTTATATTTTATGCTCAATAGTTTCTGTGTCCTCCATAATAAATCTTATGGTGGCTTTGCTCCCTCTCTCACCGAGGAAAATTAATATATTTAAAAACTAAGGAGTGACAGTTCCTGCCTTCCGTCATCTGAGCAGTTTTTATGAAGAGGATGCTGGGAACCTTGTTCTCTGTCCAAGGAGAGAAAAGCAAACGGGAACGCGCTTAAGCTAGAGTGAAGAGCCAAAGCTCCCAGCCAACCTTAGTTCATCGGCCGTTGTCTGCCTGCCCCAGCACAGAGGGAGCTCCACGGGGGTGTCCTAAATACCTGCCGGATGAGTGTCGCTGAACGTCCCGGGAACAAGGCATGGGCTGGCAGTCTAGGGGTGCCATTTCCCTCAGACCAGAGCATCCCCAGGGAGAAAACAGGAGCTTCTCTTCACAAGCCTGAGAGCTGGCTCTAGCCCAGGTCACTTCTCGCCACCCGCCTGCCCCTCGGGGATGGGGAGGACATGCAGGGACTCGGGGTCCACAGGGGTTCTCCTGCAGGGGCGTCTCCTGCCTGCAAAGCACAGCCAGCCCCTCAGCCTGCGCGTGGTAACCAGTGTCACTGCCCTGCATGTGCATGCGTTTCACTGAGGACAACTTTAGCCCCTAAGTGTCCTCAGCCATCAGGGAAAGTACGCTAGAACTTCCTGGGTAGGCAAGGAAGTGCAGCCTCGGGGTGAAAAATGAAAAAGCGCGATGCAAGTTAGAGCATGGTTTCTGGGCATGGCCAGCTGGGGCTGGCCGAGTGTCACAGTCAGCAGTGAAGCGACTTGGGTGCACAATCAGAGTGACTTCACTGCGAGCGTGACTGGTCGCCTTGTTATTTCTTTGATTCAAACCTATCACTCGTACCAGCTCGTTCACGAGTCGTCCCACAACCCATGAGGGTGCGATGAGATGAAAATGCGTACAACCCTCCTGGGGCGGGATGAATGCTCACCTGCCTCCGAGAGCCGCCTGCAGCTCAGCTTTCCCTTCAGCCTTCCCAGAAGAGAGCATCTCTCAAAATGGCACAGCTAGAAGTGGTTCCCGAATTTCACCACCTTTGTAACCCTGACCCCCCACATTTCTTGACAGAGTAAAGTCAATCTGACTTTTTTTGAGAGAGAGAGATTTTTGCTGTAGGGTGTGTGTGCTCACCAGAGAGAGAGAGAAAGAAGAGAGAGACAAAGCAAGAAATCCCCCCCTAGACTGGCCTCCCCACTATCCTCCTCTCGGGATTTTGGTCACACGCACATGCATCCAGCGTGAGCTTCAAGCCTCCAGGTCTGGGACTCGAACTGCGGTCAGCCATGTGTGTCCAGTGATAGAACTATTTGCCATCTGCTGGTCCCAAAGTCAATCAGATTTTTAAGACATCCAGACCAAGAGATTTTACCTTCCCTATCCGCAGATCTCTAGTATATTTTCCGTATTTCACCTCCAAGAAATTCTATTTTAGCAAAATACTCCATGGTATATTTCAAGTGCACTCCAGGTACTTACGTCAGTGGAAGGGGCAGCAGTGATGGACTGGCTTTCTTTGCTTTAAACTGGGAAGTGCCTCAGAAGTATTACTAGTGACCTGTTTCATCATTGTTTGTGCAGTCCTGTTAGAAGGTAACATGAGGACCAGCAGATGGTGAAATGGTTATGTCACTGGACTCTCCCACATAGATGACTGCAGTTCGAGTCTCAGACCCAGTGACTTGAAACTCACACTGGGTGTGTGCACATGCGTGTCCAAAATCCTGAGAGGAGACCTGGGGGGAGAAGGGATTCAGGGTGGCAATTCCCGAGGGGTGATTTTTCACTTTCTGTCTCTGTCTCTCCAGCCAGCACACGTGCCCTATTGCAAAATCTCTCTCTCTCGAGAAACAAAAGAGAGTGTAACATCCACTGGACACTCATAATTTTGCTTTCTGACTCTCCATTCCCAAGTCTTCCAGCACCAAAGCTCCCTTGCAGACCACTTCTTTGGCTATAAACCTTGAATGTATTATAGACCTTGTAAAAAACTGAAACAGATTAATTTCAACTGCTCTCTTAATCCTCTACAGCTCTGTAAGTCTTGCTGCCTGGCAGAGAGAAGCTCTACCTCATTCTTCTTCCTCAAAATAGTCCTGACTATTCTTGCCCTTTTGCTTTCCCATCTAAAATTAAGATCTGCTTGTCATGTTCCCTGGAAAAAGCTTTTAGGGGATTTTGTTGGAACAGCACTGAGTTTAAAGATTAATCTGAGAAGAGATGGCATCTGAATGATGTTCAGTCTTTTTATCCCTGAATGTAGTATATGTGATCAAGATTATTGCCTTCAGTTCCAATTTGACATGAGTACATTGTCAATGTTCGCACAGTTTTCCCTTTTTTAAGGAATTATTTTATTTGACTTTGTTATTTAGTTAGTTTAATTAGACTAGAGAGAGAGAAAGAAAGCAAGCCACCAGGTCTGGGATTTGAACCACAGTCAGCCTTGTGGAAGTCCAGCGCCCTTAACCACCACCCCACCTACCACCCCCAGCACATGTTTTTTCTATATTCCTTGAAATGATGTCTGTTTTTTCTCCTTTTAATAAAGAATTGTTTATTTGTGGTGCTGGCAGGTAGTGTGGTGGTTAAGGGCACTGGACTCCCACATGGCTGATCACAGTTCAAGTCCCAGACCTGATGGCTTGCTTTCTCACTTCCCTCTCTCTCTGTCCCTCTCTGGTCACCTTAAAATAAAATAAAATAAAATAATTAATTAATTAATTCTTTTTAAAAATATTTATTTATTTAAATCTATTTGTTGTTATTATTTTTTAATTTGACCAGAGAGAGACAGCAAGATAGAGAAAGAGAAAGTGAGAAAGCAAGCCACCAGGTGTGGGACATGAACTGCAGTTGCCCATGTGGGAGTTAAGCACCTTAACCACCATGCTACCCACGGACCTCTTGATATTTTCATGAGGCTAATTCCATTCATATATTTTCTAATGTTAAACTGTCATATTCCTAGAAAAAGCCTAAATTGCTCAAGGTGAGTTTTTTCCAGTTATTAATATTTTAAAAGAGACATTTTTTAAAGAATTATTTTATTTTATTTATTCATTCATTTTATTTACTTATTTATTTTAATTTGATCAGAAAGACAAAGAGAGAGAGAGTGAAAGAGGGAAAGTGAGAAAGCAAGCCACCAGGTCTGAGACTCGAACCATGGTTGGCCATGTGGGAATCCAGCGCCCCCATCCACCACACCACTTGCCGGCCCCCAGTTATTAATATTTTAATGTTGTCATCTTTGTTCACAAACGTGATTGGATTTTCTGTTGCTGTCTTGATCTGTTGTGGGTATCAAGGTTGAGATTACTCTAGCACCATTAACTGATCTAAAAATGT